TACTTTGCATTTAGTGGTTGACAAAAAGAAGAAAAATTTGAACCCTCCAATTCAACCCTCTCTTGGAGTATTTGAACCAACAAGTATACACTGCAGAATATACCCATTTATCGTTATATTACAAGAGTAGGGATCTCAATTATTAAACATAAAAAAAATAAATAGTCCCCAATTATTTTTTTCATTTAAAAAGTTGTAATAAATTTTAATCATTGAAAATAAAAAAATGGTTAAGTTTTTATATAAATATAATATATAAGATTTGTGTGTAAATTAATCCCAATTTTTATTATAAATATGAAACAAATTTAAGCCAAATCACTCAAATTTAAAATTTTTTATTTTACTTAAAAAATAACCACAATATCAAAATTTGAATAAAATCAATTTAATTTCTAAACACGAGTACATTATATTTTCTTATATAAAAATTTGTTTTTGCTTTCGAATAAGTATAAAATATAAATAGATTTTGAAATTAGACAGCCAAAGAGGTACCACCAAACTTTAACCCCCTTACTACCCTCATGACAGTTAAGAGTTTAGTATCTCTTGTATGGTCTATCAGATTCTCCTAAAGTAGCTCTTATTTTCATGACTTCTAGTCACAATAGGCACAACAAAAATTGATTAAATTCGACCATTTAAAATGGGATCATGGATAAAGACTTTTGACTTGCTAACCTGTTTAAATCTAATGATTTGACTTGTGATTCTACTCGAGTAAGATTACAAACAACAAAATAATGAAAGGTTAGATGTCAATTTTAATTTATGAACTTTTACTTATGAATTTTTTTTTAATTTTTAAATTATTTTTTGTATTTTTAAATTATGAAAAATATGTTTTTTTATTTTTTTATCAATTAATTTATTAAATTTATTTATATATGTATATTTTTTAGCCCATAAACAAATAAATTTAAGGAGTTTAACATGCATCTATTATAAATTTAAAGATTAAAAATTTACATGTATAAACATATTTAAATAATTCACTAATAAAAAGATTAAAAAATTATTTTTGTATAGTTTATGAACAATAGAAGTGTAAAAAAATAATTTCAAAACTTAAAATATTCAAAATTAAAAGTGTTAAAGGACTAAAAATGACATTAGGCAGGCCATATAAGTTGCCTTTTTCAGCTCGCAAATCTGTTTAACGCAACCCATGATATGCAATGGCACAATCCCAATATCTAACCCAACTCAGCCATTTGCCATGTCTACATGGCACATCTAGTGGCAAATGGCTATGCCATCTTGCTGCAGCAAGGTTTCGTTAATTGCATTTTAAATTTAAAAATATATATATTATTTTATAATTTAAATTATTTTAAACTATAAAAAAATTTAAATGAGGAAGGGTTCTTAATATTAAGAAATTTTTTTTTTATCCAAGTGTTAATATTTTACTGTATAAACTATAAAATTATATTTCAAATTTAAAATAAAGGAAAATGAATAGCAACTTTTCTGGCCGTTAAGGGCGCTGTTTAAAATGTAACCGTTGTGCCCGCACCTAAAAAACTAGCCGTTACTCCGACTCCATTCGATCAAAAGATTCAAAACCCCTAGTCTATATGATTTCATTAGAACTCTATCCCAAATCCCCTTAAAGTTAAAACCCATCCGACTCTGATTTTCGAAATTTCTACCTCCATAAACCAAATTCGATCTCCTATATCCTCTCTAATCTCACCAAAAAAAACCCTTTCTCTCTTTGAGCTATTATTATACCCAATTACCGACCCAGGGCTCTGTTTTTTCTGATTCAGTAGACGCGGGATGGCATCGAGAACAGTCGCCAAAGACATCATTACTCTGCGAGGCTCAGCGGCCATTGTAAGCGAGTTTTTTGGTATGCTATCGTTTCTTCAAGCTTGAGTTCATTTTTTGCTTATTTTCCTTCTGGGTTTTTTTGGGTTCTTAGAAATTTCTCTGATTTTTGCATTTTTTGTTTTGACTACTTTTCAGGATATGCAGCAAACAGGTGAATGTCACTGGATTCTTAATTTGATTCTTGTTCTGTATCTTGAATTTTTTTTTGACGGTTTGTGGGTATTGAAAATTATGTTGAAATTGATAAATTGGTTTTAGCATTCTTTACAACCGAGGAGTTTATCCTGAAGAGAGTTTCGTTAAGGTGAAAAAATATGGGCTTCCTATGTTACTCACTCAAGATGAAGGTGTTAAATCCTTCGTTGCCAACTTAACCGCTCAACTTTCGGGTATGTATATGTTCTTGAACATTTTAGGACTGTTTGGATGCTGAGAAATCAATCTTCATTACCGTGAAAATAAAAATAAAAATAAAAAATCCTCATTTTACATTAAAAAAGAATGATGTTTTGGGTTCAATTCTTGATGACTGAATTAGTTTTTACTTTAACTATTTGAAAGAATGGCTGGAAGCTGGGAAATTGCAAAGGGTTGTTCTTGTGATCATGAGTAAGGCTACAGGTGAGGTCTTAGAGAGGTGGAATTTCAGCATTGAAACAGATAGCGAGGTTGTTGAAAAGGGGTAATTTGATATATCTCTAAATTCAATTTTTTACACCCTTTCCTGCTGATTTTTTCACATTTAGATTACATTGCTGATTTTTTTACATTTAGATTACATTGTCTGACAGATTTCATTTCTTTTTCCTGTTTGGTTTGGTTTGGTTTTTCAGAGTGTCAAGGGAAAAGAGTGACAAAGAAATCATGCGAGAAATACAGGCAATCATGAGGCAGATTGCCTCAAGTATTACTTACTTGCCATGTCTTGATGAACCATGTGGGTTCCCCTCCTCAAGATTCATTTGAAGTGTTCTTTTTTAATTTGGTTTATTGATGCACTTGCCTCTGTCCTTTTTTTGTGTCTAGGTGTGTTTGATGTACTGGCATATACTGACAAAGATGTTGCAGTACCATTCACTTGGATTGAGAGTGACCCCAAACTGATTGCAAATCCGCAAATGGTCAAGCTGCACTCTTTTGATACCAAGGTAATGTTGGAAGAAGAGAACATGTCTAGTCTGGTTACCAAAAAATGTGGCTGAACTTTAGTTTGTTGTCTAATTACCTGTTCATCTGTTTGTTTTATGCGCAGATACATAAGGTTGACACTCTTGTGTCGTACAAGAACGATGAATGGGAGGAGCAGTAGGAGAATAGAAAAGAAGGGCGTATGATCTGTGAATCCTTTATTCACATTTTGTTGGATTGATATGAAATACAGTGAAGAATGATGTGCTGCCTCGTTTGTTAGTGAGCATCCTTTTGTATGTTTACCAAATGCAGAGAAATGAAAGATTCTTCAGATTTGTCTGTCTTCTTAACTTCTTTTTGACATGGGAAAAAAGTAGGAAAAGGTGATGGTATTGTCTTGAATTTTCCTTCTTAAATGACCATCCATATTAAAAAGGCTTAAAATTTTCAGATTTATTCATACCAGAAAAAGACTTTATGAGGATGGGATTATTGAAGGCACTTGAAATTTGATGCCATGCTCAATAGAAATAGTTCATTTCCGCTAAAAATCATATATACAACAAACAGGGTGACAGAAAAGAATGCTGGAATCTAAACCTACAAGACAATATCGTACAACACAGGCTATGAACAGCTGAGTTTCTTGTTCCAAGTCTCCAAATTAGCGTGCAAGGCACTTAAATTACAATTACAACAACTACAATCCCCAGAAAACACAGTGCCATAATCAAGTAATAAAGTCAAACAATGGCATGCTTCCTCTCAGTTCACACCTCGATATATTGCACCTGGTCGAAGATCATCCATGTTATCAATGTTTCTGTATCCATCTATCTCTCGGAGAGCAATATATCCCCTGCGGGCCAGAAATTCACGATAGTCATCTTCTGTATAGAAAATCTTCTCCTCAGTATGCATTGGTATGTGATCTGACTCATCATAGAGGCACAGTTTAATAGCCAAACCTGTGCATAGAAGTTTAGTGTCAATGTCAATGCATGCCAAGTTACATAATCCAGTACTGAGAAAAAGAACCACATAATTTCAGCTGGTATATTTTCTGCAATCTAGTGTTTGAAAAGAAAATAGTAGAAACCAGATAAATATTAATATACACATCAATTTACCTTCATCAAGGTGGAGAGTGTAATTCCCCAAAGGCATGTCCCTGTCAAGACTCCGAACTATATGGTCTTCATCCTCCAACCAAAATGCACGCCTAGTTCTTAACCTAAAAGCAGACCTAATTGCCTCCTTGATGGAATCTGCAGAGCCATCTATGCCAATCCTCCTCGAGTAGTCCCCAAGCTTGACAGTTATAACCCTTCCACCATATGACTGACAGTCCCCACCTGCCAAAGACACAAGTGTAGAAGTTTTCATCTCAGACAAGGATTTAAACTGGGTAACTCATTGACGAAAAGTCAATACTAAATACAGTACGAAATGTAGGCTCTACATATCAGCAACAATTGAAACATCATGATGCTACTCAAATCTAGCAAAACTTCACCTTTTGGCAAAATAAGTCCAGACTTGAATCTGATTTACAAAACTTACCACTTCCAGGGGTCTCTCTCCAACCCCAAGGAGGAACTCCAGTGGCAGCAACTGCATCAGCAGTGGTGATGGCAAGAGAATGTCCATCATGATCTAAACGCCTTTCAAGATTGAGTGTAGGTCTACCACCAGCTGCACACCAGAAAACATCAACAGGAGATGCATATCTTTCAGCACCAGTTGACAGAAAAAGAAACATGAAAATGAAAGCTGTATGCAACTTGTAAAAGACATGGTTGGTCAGAGATCAGACAGCAATCCCTCCAGTTTATATGGTTGTTCTATTTTATTTTTCTCATCATGCTATTTGTTATCACATACTTCAGTGCCATCCCTCTATCCGTTCTCATTAATATAAGATCAACAAGCTGGTTTAAGCTTTAACTCAAAATGAATGGGGAACATATATCCTATAAAATCCTGCACTTCTCATGGTTTAAATTTACTAAAAAGTATGTGGTTGTAATAATTACACAAATAATGCAACGGATATGAGCCCTGGTGAGCAAAAGAGATTTTAAATGAGAAAGACTAGACTGAATATGATGAAATAAAAATAAACTATGAGCTTTTTAAAATTGCTCAAGATGCCACAGTAAGTGAGTAGCAGATATCATTTTAGAGAAGGTTGAACATCTATCTGATGCATGTTTGTAAAATTGTAGGCCACATAAGCAGAATGGTGTTAGTGTGGACCAGGGTGAAAAATCAAGAGAGATTATTAATCACATATGGGCTTTTATAAAGAGAACCTCGCAAAGCATATGTGAAATCACCTACTTTTGACATAATTGAATATTCTACAGAAATTCAGTATTAAGAGAATAAATTGCAAGTGTTAGCTGGAGACTTACTGGCCTAACTCAAAAGTAATGATGATACCGCTACTTTAGGAGGTATGAGAGTGCAACATAGTGAGAAAGGTAAAAAGGAAAATAAGAAGAAATTGCAGAAAGCAGTATGTTAACCAGAAAGGCTTCTAAATGAGATAAGGCTGGCTATAACATAGAGGTTTATTGGGCTTGCTGAAGGCTGTTAAAAATGCTAAAAGGAAGTTCATTGAACATTAATGGTTTGGTTGCTGACTGTAAAGTTCAGACAGCAGATATATTGTTACACTAATGAAGACAGGCTCAAGGTATCTAAACATTTTAACATTGCTTGCAATAGCTTTAGTAGTGTTGCTGACCTTTGTACAACAAACATTCATTATGAACCAGAATGAATAGGACATCCAGTTCTGGTAGTTAAATTCTTGATTCTGTATGAAAACAATGAAAGGAGTAAAGTCTCACAACTGTACCAGTAACATCACATCCAATAGCAGTCATTACCAAAGAAACTACAGGCCTATATATTGGTGACAGGAAAAGAATACACAAATTGGAATTTAGAGATCTCAAATTGCATAAGCATACCTTCAACAGGACCAAATGATATACTTGTATCATCAAAGCCTGCACCAATCAAATAATTTTTGGAATGAATATTAATGTTACGGTACTAGAACCAAACGATTTGTTTTTGTTGCAACTAAATTTTCAAAAGCTTGTATTGACAAAAGTTTTGTGAAATGATGTGAACACTTAAAGTATATCCACATCAGATGGCACATAGGAAAAGAAAGAACAAAAAAATTAAACAAAGGACACCCTTTGGAATTATGTACTTAAAAAAGTCAGAGCACTAAATGCCTTTTTGAACAGTAGAATAATATAATCAAACAATTTAAAAAGCTTAGAATAGCTACAAATGGTAAGGGCCCCTTTCCTCTATGGGGTGCAGGTGGGGAAGAAATGGATATAAAAGATAAAGCTGAACTCCTAAGTTCCAACCCAAAGAAACAAATAGCTAAATTGATAATGCAGGTATTTAGAAAGGTAGATGAGATATAGGGCCGTTAGGTACGCTATGGAATTAGTATTAAACTGCTAAGGAAATCAGAGAAAAAATTATATCTGTCTCAAAAGTATCAGCATATACCTATCAAGAAACAATCATAACAATGGTAAGAATGGGAAAAGTTGAATCCCTTTGCCTCAAAAATCAGCACCTCATGAAGCCTTTCTTTTAACAAATGTGGCAAAGAATGGGCAAACAAAATCATATTCTAAATTTAAGAAGTTAATATCAAAATCCATTAGTACATACACTTTAAAGGGGAACACCAAGCAGTGAGGCAGTTTAGAACTGTGATTCTAAAAGTTGAGGTTAAAAAAAAAAAAAAAGGAAGAAAGAAAGACGATGCTACTTAAGTAGAAATGTGGAAAATGCCAGTTTCCTGATTACTTGAATACAAAATATCCA